CATACCTCCCTCTAAGACATTTTAGCAAATTAATTCCCTGATACCTTGCTGGACCATAGAAATCGATGAAAAAACTACTCAATGTTTTCGTAATCTTTTTGGGCAAGAAAAGGTGAGAAGCCCAAAAAACCTGGAGCCTACCTAAGATTGAAATCACCAATTGTAGACGACCAGCAAAAGACAATGTTTTATGCTCCCAGCTGCAAATATGATTATCAACATTCTCAAGTAAAGGCACACAATCCGCATAGGTCAACTTAGAACTGATCAAAGGCACCCCAAGATACTTAAAAGGAAGACACCCCTCTGGAAACCCAAAGCAGCTTACAATTCTAGTCATGTCTCTAGTTTTGACTCTAGCAAGAAAAATATTACTCTTAGAAGCATTAGGAGTTAAACCAGAAATGTGAGAAAAGTAATCCAAAACCTGTTTTAAAAACCTTGCAGAGAGTAAGTCTCCATGGAAAAAAAAAAAAAGCAAATCATTGGCAAAGGCCATATAAGTAAGTCTGATCTTATCACATAATGGAACAAAAAGTGAAGGGAAACAACCACTTTAGCATGCATAATTAAGGAAAAGACCTCCATGGCAATAACAAAAAGGAAAGTGGAAAGAGGATCCCCTTATCTAAGACAATGCTTCCCCGAAAAAAAAAAAAAAAACCAACCAGTTCACCATTAACTGCCATGAAGAAATAAGCGGTGGAGATATAACATCGGATCCATTGAACAAACCTTGGATGAAAGTTAAAAGCCAACAAAACACCAAGCAAAAACTTCCAATCCAAAGTATCATTTGTGAATATCCACCTTGATTGCACACCTGGGAGTTCCATTATTCAGATGGTAACCATGAAAAAGCTCTTGGACAAGAAGAATATTATCTCCGATACAACGACCTCCCATAAATGCAGATTGCGTATCACTAATGATGGTAGGCAGAACACCTTTAATTCTATTAGCCATAATCTTAGAGATGATTTTATAAAGAGTGTTGCAACAAGAAATAGGCTGAAAATCCCCTATGGAAGAGGGGTTAAGGATTTTAAGCACAAGGGTAATTATAGTGGTGTTAAGCTCACGAGTAATTGGTTGGAGTTGAAGAATTCCTGGACTGCAAGAATAATTTGATCACCAATAATAGGCATTAAAGCCATATGGGCCTGGGGCTTTATTAGGCTTCAAACTGAAACAAACTTTACGAATTTCGTCACCAAAATCCTCTCTTACCATAGCAGCGGCCATATTAGAAGAAATAGGACTTGTGACAAGGTTACAAGCAGCAAGATTTACTTCAGAGATCGGAATAGCAAAATGATTGCCAATAAGACTTTGGAAAAACCCCATAGCTTCATCTTTGATCTCCCTTTCAACAGTAGTAATAAACCCATCACTTCTACAAATAGAGGCAATACGGTTTGGATTAGCCCGCTTCTTAATAGAATTATAGAAAAAACGGTGTTCCTATCGCCGTTAGCCATCCATTGGACACGAGATTTCTACTTGACAAAGCTCTTCTCCCTCAAAAGGCAATCAAAGTAGTTTTTCAATAAGGTTTTCTCTAGCTCAGCCAAAGACCAGTTCGTAGGCATAGACACTAAACTAACTTGGCAAGAATCAAGAGCAGCTTTAGTGTTCTTAACTGCAAGAAAGACGTCAAGGGAAGGAGCACAATTTAACTTTTTCAACTTAAATGTAACAAGCTTTAGCTTCTTCGCTACTTGGAATTGATGGCAACCTTGAATATGAGTATTAAAAGCTTGTGCAACAATAGCTAAAAAATTCTCATGGTCAGCGTAGAAATTGAAGAATTTAAAAGGTGCCTTTCTTTGAGTTTGGGAGAGACCCCACAGAAACCACCCCTGGGCAGCGATCAGAGGCACCAGGAGGCAAAAAAAATAATAGAGCTATTAGGAAACATAGATAACCAACCATTGTTGAGAAGGACACGGTCCAACTTGCAATAGATAACTATGCCATTGAATTGCTTATTGCACCAAGCAACAAGTTGGCCAGAGAATCTCAAATCATCAAGGCCAACATCAAGTAAACAATCCCCAAACTCAATAATAGCATTAGACCTCAAATTAGAGCCCTCATGAATTTCTCCAATGGATCGAACAACATTGAAGTCACCAAGGAAAATCCAAGGGGCATCACCAATGGAGTGCTTAAAGGAGCAAAGGTGAGCCCAAAGAGCCTTGCACAGATTTTCATCATTGGAGCCGTAAACAAAGGAAGCATAAAAACTTTGCCCCATTAGAAGAATTTGAATCTAACAATGGATAGCTTGATCAATCTCCACCAAGTGAGAAACATGAAGAGTGGTGGAATTCTAAACCACCAAAATTCTGCCATTAACATGGCAATTGTAATTGTTGATGGTCATCCAATTAGGAAAGACAAATTGAGCAACAACATCAATATTATTCACATGAACTCTGGTCTCAACCAGACCAACCAAACAAAGCTTATTTGTATCGATGAAATTACGAACCATGAGTTCCTTAGGAAGCCCATTTAACCCTCTGACATTCCAGCAAGCGAGATTAATCATTTAAGTTTGAACAAGATCAGTCTTGGGCACTACAACCCTTACCACCAGCCTTAGCTGTACCTTTACTTCTATTATTCTTCCTTTTCTTCTTCTTTTAATGAAATCTCTGGGATGGAAGAGCATCAATATCCTTACCCAAAATACGGTGCTTTTTTAGTATTTGGAGAAGTAGTGGCCTGAATTTCTAAGTCAGAGATATTCTCCAAAAAATCAGGTGCTTTTTCAGAGACATTCTCCAAAAATTCAAGGGCTTCAAACATATTTGACACCGCCATAACAACCTCTACAGGGAGGAGAGTTCCAACGGGACTAGAAGGGGAAGAGAGGGGTTGAATAGCAGAAGTATCGGCCAAGGCCTTCCCAAACCTATGCCATTTTTTTAACTTAGGGGTACTACAAATTTCATGGTCAACAGTAGGCGATTTTTCAGATGTTGCAATGGTGGGAATTTCAATGGGAGCAGGTTTAGGTTTGTGGGGACAAGAGGGTTCCAAATGACCAAATGTTTTACAATGAAGACAAATACGGTGTTTACACTAAAACTCAACACTTACTTCCACAGAATAAGGAATTTCCCCTTCCTTATCAGGTTGGACCACAAGATCAATGGAATCAATAAGAGGATCAGAAGCATCAACTTCCATACTGTTTCTCATGAAGGAAATATGTTCCTTCGATTCAGTGAGGGAATCCACGTAAAGTGGTTTATTGACAGCATTAGCAACATGACAAAAACCTCCATGGTTCCAGTGCTCAAGGGGAACATTGAAAAACCTAACCCATATAGGAACAGTAACATGAAAAGCCATGGAGAGGACCATCACAGGTCTCCAACGAGTAAGAAATAACATTCTCCCTAAGCGATGCCAAGGACCAGATTCAAGCACACTAACATAGCTTAAATCATCCCTAAACTTAAAGAAAAAGAAACAACTGTCATTAGCAAGAACATCCACCAAACCTTGTTTAGTCCACAACTTCTTAGTTAAAATGCATACTGCGGAGAATGGGAGTTGTTTATCAATAAAGTACCCAACGAGACAGTGGCGCCATTCTTTAGCAGTTGCAATTACCACACTACGAGGATGACTCACCACTTTACGGCCACCCACCAGTTTTGGTTTTTAGTAATGGAGATTCAAAGATCCGGTTGAAGCACTACCGTCACCACTAACAGCGTTCAAATAGATGCCTTTGAGATTTTCCACAAATGTATGAAGAGTCCCCATCGAACTAATGACATGACTATGCTCATGGGAAGGAAAAGAACAGTTAGACCTGATTCATTGAACAATGGGATTATCATCCCCTGGGACTGAGGTACATATCCCACTGTGAGAATGGGAATTATCTTGCTGCATATTGGAAGAGGTTTACACATTTTATAGATTAAGGGAACTGCTCAACGTTTCAACTGACACAAAGGGGCCCACCACTTGGGGTTGCTGTAAATCCAAACCAGAACCAAACAAAATATCTAGCGAGGGGCCCACTCTAAGAGAGCCCATTCCGTTAGTAGACAGCAAACTACCGTTACCCACCAAGCTCGACTCATGAGGTTGAACGACCAAGCTCGGCTCCTGAGGTTGAACGACAGATGGGCATGCCGGAGCAACATCTTGGTGAAGAAAAAGTCCATTTACTACATGGCCATTCACAAGTCTAGAACTATACTGCAAGTTTTCCAAATGGGGACTGGAGTTTCTCAAAGCAAACAAAGCATTGGAAGAGGGTGGTGTGAGTGAGGAAGGTTGAATATGGGACGATGGGGTTGTAGATTTAGTGTGAGAAAGGGGAATTAGGGATTTTGGGGTAGCAATTTTGGGATTAAGGGAAGGTGATCGGAGAGTGGGGTTGGAATGGCCATAGGGCTTAAGATTGAGGGTTTGATTAGGGGCGAGTGCAGGAGATGTGGCGGGTGCATGGAATCATTGGTGGCGGAGGTGGTTAAATAACAAAAAGGTAAGGGGGGAAGCTTTTTGACCCTTTCGTTATTTGGGGTTGTGGGTCCCAAGTATAACTTTGTTTTCCTTTTAATTTCTAGGTTAGGGTCCCTGAAATTGGGCTAGGATTCTCTTCCCTCCTCTTTCCATCCCCTTCTATTCCCTCCTCTCACACTCTTTATTTTGTCTTTCTTTTTTTATAAAAAATTAATATAAGATGTTGACGTGGCTTAACCGTGACCTTTCAAATAGAAGGGAAAAAAAGGGAAGAAAAAAAAAGAGGGAAGATAATCCTTGTCTCCCAAAATTTTACTTGAAGATATGATTCATGCAGACCTAGTGGCCACGTGGTATCTCAAGTGCCTAGAAAGTGGGATGGGGTCATCTTGATTAGAAAGCCCATTAATCTACAAGATGTTTAAGTAAAGGATCCATAATGTTGAAATCTATTATCTACAAGTTTTAATGCGGGTTATAACCCTCGGAATATTCTCACTAAATAATACAATGACTAATTATACAATTTAGAAAGAAAAACAAAGAATAGGCACCACTTTATGACTAAAATTTTCATATATATACGATCCGTTTGAGCAGCCATTTGAGTACTCGGAACAATTTCAGACAAAACATGCCTGCTTCTACTTCCTCTACTCATCAGCTCCTTCAGGACGTCCTTGGAGGCTTCAATTCCAGAAGATTACTCCTACAAAACCCACTTTACCAATCACCAAACACCGCCACTTCTCCAGTTTCCACAAACAGAATCGACTCACCGTCAGCAGACCAATACCCTGGAGACAACAGCTTCGATGCTAACGTTGTTATGGTCCTCTCAGTCCTCCTGTGTGCCCTAATTTGCTCGCTAGGGTTGAACTCCATCATCAAGTGTGCTTTGAGGTGCTCAAGTTTTGGATCCTCCTCAGAGTCCAGATCATTGGGCAACAACAACGCCACCTCAGCTAGGTTAGCCAACACAGGAGTCAAGAAAAAAGCCCTAAAAACTTTCCCGACAGTGAATTACTCAGCTGAGTTAAAACTGCCTGGGTTGGACACAGAGTGTGCGATCTGTCTATCGGAGTTTACGACCCACGAGCGCGTACGCCTTCTGCCAAAGTGTAACCATGGATTCCATGTACGCTGCATTGATAAGTGGTTGAGTTCGCACTCATCATGCCCAAAATGCAGGCACAACTTGATCAAGACGTGTCAGAAGATTGTAGGCTACAGTACTCAAGCTAGCTCATCGGAAACAGTTCGAGAAACCATTGTAAGCATTGCACCACTTGAACCCGAAGGTTTCTTGCGTAGTTATAGGGGTATTAGCTAGCTGAGTTTATGATCTTTTGTTAATTCGTTGTTATTTAGTTAATATTAATATGCTTAACTTTCTGGGTTTGAGCTTTGTGCCTCGGGGTTTTGAGCCTTCATTTCACTTAGCCAACCCAACAGCCAATACAAAGTGTAGTTGTTGCTTCTTGTGAATTTGTGTAGTGTTTGCAATTTGTGAATTGTTCAATTCTTTACAATAATAAATTGTTCAATCCATTTTTAATTAGGTTGAAAAAAAAAAACCAAGTTCTACCAACTAGCTTTTAATGTAATAGTATTTCATCTCAACGCTAAAAAATATCTCAAATTCGAATATATCTTTCTCCATCAATTAAAGAAAAAACATGGGCTGCTTAACATGGCTAGAAGATTTGTCCAAAGTGTCTGGCTATAGGATTTCTGTTAATGGAATCACTTGATACCCCAGCTAGATTTGAAATCTTGAAAGGGAATCCCCCAATCAGCGGGGACAACTAATCAATTTCTTTTAATTTTTTATTTCAATCAACATTCTAAAAGCAATCCTTTTAACCTTTCCCAATAATATGCTACTATACATTACGAAAGGCATCGCTAATACCATATTAAAAACCCTTAAAGAAATAATTGTCAAGGGGTGCGCTTGGCTGTGACAAATAATTAAGTTCAATCATCTAGAATTCGTGGCCTATAGATAGGCCTCACAATTTTTTAAACAACCCGTTAACCTAACTCAAAATGACATGAAATTAACAAGTTTCGAGTCGACACGATAACGAATCGGGTCGTTATCGAGTAACCCAATAAGCACCTTTTAAGATAATAGATCGGTCCAGGTATACACGTAGTGTAACGACCCGTCCCCAATTATTATGATTTTTATAATTTTAAAAAGTGAATTTACAAAGATGTCCTTCGAGACAAAGCGTTGACTTTTGTTAACTGCCATGCTGTGTCACGTAAGGTTCATTTTCTTGGTACTACGAACGCGTGGACGCAAACAGAATGCAATTTGGAGTTATACCGAAGGAGAAATTAATCTTTAAAGCTGGGGGCATTTTAGTAAATTGGTTATCTTCTAGAATGCTCCAGATTTCTAGAGCCAAATCAAGAAGGCCACGTGTGTGGCCCAGATTAAAAGGAAGAAAGTTAGGCGGTGGAGAAGGAGGATAAAGGAGAGAAACGAGGGAGAGGTGAGGCGAATCAGAAGAGGAGAGATGTGAGGGTGACCAATCAGGGAAGAGAGAAAGGAGAGAAAGGAGAGAAGAAGAAAAGGAGGAGAAACGCCGAGTTCACCATGACGCTTACCTAACTCGCCGGGTTGCACCAACCCACTACTTGGGAACTTCTCATCGATCATTCCTCTTCAATTTTCTGCACAAATTAGACAAGATTTGGTCTTGGTTTCGTGGCAAGAGCGTTGGCGGCACCGTGGTGTTCTTAGTGGCAATCCGCCATTTCTGCAATGATTTCTCTCGATTTCCACCACCAGTATACTTCCCTTCAGCCTAGAAACAATGCTCAATCATTGGTTGGAGCGTCGGAGTCGATTTGAGGACGAATCAAGAGACACCCTTTTATAGGGTTTCCGACGGATTGAGGGGAATTTGAGGTGTTTCCCGGCCAAATTAGCATTAGTCACAGGTATGAAAGTTGCTCCACTCACAGAGATCTTCATTTATGTGAAGTTTGAGAATTTTTAGAAATAGTTGAATTTTCCAGTGAGATGGGGCGGCCGACCACCACCGACGGTGGCGGGTGCGGCAGCACGTGGCCAATGGGCCGCCGATACTATTTTACACTAAATTGATATCATGATCTCATATTTGATATCCATATGATGTGATTTGAGTATTGTGAATCTAGTTTGATTAAGGTGCATTACTTGATAATTATATGAATCAACGATCCGACTGTTAGATCGTCATCAAACTTTGATACATTATAACACGTAATATTTGAGGATATTAGAAACTAATGGATCAGGAATCCGGCGTACGGATCTTCCCAATTAGGACATGTAAGTTATATGTTCTATTGATAAGAATTCTAAGACATGATTTGATAATTGTTCTAGGCAGCAATCGTTCGTGATGCCTTGATATTTGTGCTAGGGAGTTGTGGCGCGAACTCCAGGTGAGTGGGCTTTTCAGTTTTCTATATATACGTATATATGTTTCCCATTTTTCCCATAAATGGTTTTAAGTGAAGTTTCGTTTAAAATGCCATGTCATGGTTGCTTTACATTTTAGCCTATGCATTAGTATAGCTTTGCATAATGTTGCATGATGTTGCGGAACCCAGGTAAGCTACAGGTGAGTACATTATGATGTTAGTGGTTGTGATGTATATGGTTATGCCTAGATGCATTTGGTTCTCATTATCATGCACCCTGGTATCAGTGCTCCGCCTGAGGTCAGGGCCTAGCCTTCATGTGATCGTTCACCTCCCGTACCACTCGCTCACCTTGGATCCAAGGCAGGTGCCATCCTGTCGTACATACCACATTAGGTAGTTCCAACTCGTAGGTGACCTGCGATACTTCGCACAGCCTTCACGTGATCATAGCACTTAAGCGTACTTATTTACACCTAGCCTGTCGTACAGACCACATTAGGTGGTTCCGACCCGTATGCACGTTTAAAGTCGTATATGTCACGTTAGGTAACTCCAGCTGGCATAACATTTTACATTGATTTATTTCACCTGGGTTACTTATTTCATTGCTGAGATACTTGACATGGCATATACATGGTTTTCACTACTCTCAAGCAGGATTTCTATATACGTATGTATTATTATTTTTTGGGAAATTATACGGGTTTTACGACGAGGGGTTATAACGTTTTCAAAAGGTTTTTATTAAAAACTTTATTTTCAAGCCCACTCACCCTTGTTTTTGCACCTTCTAGGTTTTAGTTGCTGAAAGTCTGTATTGATGAGGATTTGTGGCGGATCTCAGTATAGGTGGCTACCACTGAGGGTATGATCCTTACCCACACTACTGTACTTTACTTATGCTCTGACGTCACATGTGAAATTGGTTCATTCCTGCTCACAGCGCACTCTTGTCTTTAGGTACTTTTAGGTTTAAATTTATTCACATTTTCCACATCACTATACTTTATGGCTTCGTCACCTTCCAGGTGTCAGCCAACACAGCTCGATTCAGAGCCCTAGTGAACATTCCGGGTCGGGGTGTGTCACGTAGGTAACTCGAAACATGATAACAAAATATTAATTTTATAATTTTATACCAATAAAAAAAAACTATAATTAAGAGCACTAGGATTTAATTCCAATTAACCCAGCAGTACAAACACAAAACTTAATTCTTAGTCACAATTTTCACCTTCTATTCTATCTCCCAATTCGATTCTATATCTTCGCATTCTCCCTGTCTCGATCGAGTTCTTTTCCTTCATGGATTCCATTACTACCAAAACTCAAAACCTAGTTCCCTATTTGGAAAAGGAGGTAATATATTTTTATGTGATATAGTTAACACACCCAGACCCGGAATGTCAATTAGGACTCCAAATCAAGCTATGTTGGCCGGTACCAAGAAAGTGATGAAGCCATAAAGTGTAGTGATGTGGAAAGTGTGAATAAATTTAAACCTAAAAGTGCCTAAATACAAGAGTGCGTTGTGAGCGGGAATGAACCCAATTCACACATGATGACAGAGTATAAGTACAGTACATTAAAATACGGTGAGAATTATACCATCAATGATAATTGTCTACACCAAGATTTGCCAATAATCCTCATCGGTACAAAAACTCTGCTACAAACACCTGGGGGTGAAAAATAAGGGTGAGTGGGCCTGAAAATAAAGTTTTAATAAAAAAACTTTTGAAAGCGTTATAACCCCTCCTTGTAAAACCCGTATAGTTTCTAGAAAATAATACTACATAAGTACGAAGACAAATGCATGAGTGCTGTGAAAATAGAAGCATTCCATGCCTTAATATCTCAGCAATACTAAGTGTAAGCCAAGTGTGAAACCAATATAAAATAGTATGCCAGTCGGAATCACCTAACGTGACCTATATGACTGGACCTATGGCTCATCAATCCAGGCTAGCACATGAGTCAGAGTCACCTAGTGTGACCTGTACGACAGGCTGGGTATAAATATGCACGCTCAGGTGCTACGATCGCATGAAGGTTGTGCGATAATTTGCAGGTCACCTACAAGTCGGAACCACCTATTATGGTCTGTACGACAGGCTAGCACCAGACTTGGATCTAAGGTGAGTGTGCGGTGCGGGAGGTGAACAATCACGTGAAGGCTAGCCCTAGCCCTAGGCGGGAGCACTAATACTGGGGTGCAACCATGATAAGCTCTAAATAAATGTGTCCATACCACTGCAATACAACCCATTCATTCACATAATACTCACCTGAAGCTTACCTGAGTCTCCACAGCATAACACAATACAATTTACAAGTGTAACAATGCAGTATTTAAAATATAACTTATTTATGACATGGTAAGCAAAGCATAGTTCCATATAAAAACATTTATGGAAACTGTATAATATATATATATATATATATATATATAGAAAACAAACGCCCACTCACCTGAGGTCCGCATTATAACTCCCTAGCACGAATATCTAGGCATCACGAACGATCGTCGCCTAGAACAAATATTCAGTCACGTCTCAGAATTCTTATTGATATAACACGTAACTTACATAAAACACATCGCCAAGGATGTTCTAGAATGATTTAAGACCCATTGACCAAACGTCAACCGTCGGTCAAAGATCAACGGTAGGGTCCACAACCCTAGGTAACTCTATCCGGAAGATCCGCATCATAAATTTCTGATCCATAACTTTCAAAGATCCACATTATGCTTCTAAAATATCATACTAAAGTTTCATTACGATCCAACGATCGGATCTCTGCCAATTGTAAATTCAAGTGGCGGTCAACATTTTATTTTACGAACTTAGTATTCCAATTTGGGAAGATCAGCATGTCGGATTCCTGATCCGTTAGTTCCTATTGTCCTCAAATATTATGAATAATAACCAACTAAAGTTTGGTAACGATCCAACGATCGGATCGTCGATTCAAATAAGGATCAAGAGGCAGACCCTAGCGAAATTGTACCCAAACAATGGAATTTCGTTAATCAGACTTCACCTATGCAATTGGAGTATCAGACTTAGCATAGGAAGGTTAGGTGGG